TAGCTACAGAACGATGAAAATCTAATAGCGTCGTCCTTTCCTCTTCACATTCAGAATATATGACAAAAGAATATATCTGTAAAACCAAAGAAAAGCCCGTGCCACCACTTCTTGGAACGGCGGTCGATTGCATACACTTGTCGAAGTTGATCGGCATGATCTACCGAACCCATGTTTTTATTGTAATCATCAACGACTGAAGGACAGCGCACATCAATTTTCGTTCCATTCTTTTGCTTCGTTTTTACGGTGGTCTCTTCTGATCCATGAAAATTAGAGCAAAATTTCACGTACTTACTGTCCTTTCATTTGTAATAACTTATATCGAAATTTGAGATCCGGTAATCATAATCTCCTCTTTTCGTTCGTTTATCATCTATCAAATTTTTTGGTGCACCATTTTTGTGAGACCTTATTGATCCACAATTAAGGTTTTCTTAATTTTCAGTTTTTCCAAAAGACGGATACTTGTAAAAAAGTTATTAAAATAAATCAGGACAATCTTTACACCTAATCCATAATTTTTCTTCAGTTTCAGGAGATTTTCCCTGATACACATCAAATTTCTTTATGTACTCTTTCTTATCTGCTAAGCACCAGAGTTTATAACCCCTTTTTATGGGCTTCATGGCATTGAATTGTTTCATACTTGATCTCCCTTTGTCCATAGCCAACTGCTTAGTTCCATGATGATAACTGGATAACTGACGGTTAAGTGTTTGAAGATACGGACGGATCTTGTATAGTTTATCCGTATTGTTCGTGGGAATAATGCTGTTATCATTGGTCATATGGCAAGTAGTACACCCAAACTCTTCAGCATTACTTCAGAAAAGTTTATAGCTTGGCAAACTATGATAACTCATTAAGAAATTTATGCCAAAGAAACACAGCAACTTTTCTTCTTTCAAGTTTAACGATTTATTCCTTTGGGTGGCGTACAAATTACTTTGAAAGGTAATATCTTTCACACAGTTATCCATCAGTGTTAGAAAATAATATGTATTCCTTCTGGATAATCGTATCAATAACCTGTTTTTCCCGTTTTCTCAGTTTTCTATCAATTTCTGCCTTGTTGTTCTTCTTGGGCCTTTTGCCACGTATTTCTACTACTTCAGTGTCACCTTCCTCATTTTGATTAGTTGGTGTTCTATTTGTTCATCTTCTAGCATAGGTATCTCACTAGCACTAGTAATAACAATGTCATCTTCTATGTCTGTCTGTTCAGAATTATCCAACGGGATATTTTGTAATTCAACACAAACTTTTTCAACCTCAACCTCTTCATCAATCAAAGCTTTGTTTAAGTACCAAAATGTATCTGTATTCGCTTGGTTCATTTTTACGTCAATCTCAATATTGTACCTCTTATTATTCTGACGGTACTTTTATGTTTTTTGGACAACAAAATTCAGCAACACCACTTTTCACTAAACTTCTAACCTCACATCTGGATGAATAAGTTTAAAATATACCTAAAAACCCTACAATGCGGATTGCGTTATTTTTTATACAGATTTCTTCTTGTATAGTAGAAAGTACCGACAGCGCAAAATGAGCCGAATAGATGACTACAGTTTAAAATGAGTGTTTAAAACTACCGGTACTTTAACGTACCGTCGGGACACAAAGGGTTAATACATTGATTTATTAGATTACATAGTGGACCAACTATCAAATTCTTTATATGTTTAATAAATTACGAATGATATCTCGCAATTCGATGTAAGATATTTCTCTAAATCGGAAAAGTGGGCCGACCTACATGTCATCCACAGGATTTACTACCTCTGCAATTAAGCAAATAGTTGATGCTATAAAATACGCATTAAAATCGGTAGGTGTTAGTGAAGTTAATGACGATTTTTATTGTTTACCGGCCTATACACTGTGATGTAAAACAGTCATATTTGCACGCAGAGCTAATAAACAGGAGCAAATGTGATCGTCTATGCTCCAAAACTGATAGCGCTGTCAGGTCTAGGCATAGCACGATAAGATCTGGCTGAGTTTGATTTTGCACTGCTCGTCGTGTGCAAGCTGTGTGAAAACAGTTTATGCCATTCTTCTGTTTTAAATTGATTTTCGCAAGCGTATTATTCAAATTTGCTGTTCGTTAGCAAGAAGACGTTATGCAAGGATGTATTGAAATAAAAAGGTTGAGGGTTACCAGTTGCTAGTGAAAATTTTTAAGCAGTCTAGCCATATACAACACGACAATTAAAAATACTCGAATCTCGACATATTCCTTAAAAACACCTTGTTTCAGGCAAACAATGCTGGTAACAAACAACGTGCAATATGGAAGGTAATAAATCAGTGGCTCAAATAGTAGTCTTGTATCTCTCGACGTTGTGGACATCAAGAAACACTTTGTAGAGGTGGTTGAGGGTATCGTGAATGGTATCCCGTCAATTAACTCTCTTGATCGCTATCTCAAAAACTTAAATGTGACAAATATAAATTCTTTTTTCTTCAGACCAATAACAACAACAGAAATAATAACAACAGTAGATCAAATTAAGAGCAGCGGCACAGCTGACACATATGGCTTAACAAACAATATAATAAAGTCGGTAATAGAACAGTGTGCGGTCTATCTTATTATGTTCAATAAATTTGTCAGCGATGGAATTTTTCCTTCAGAGTTCAAGACAGCGAGAGTCCTCCTATTATATAAGAAGGGTGATAAAAAGGACTATAACAATTAAAGACCTATATCAATTTTACCCATTATCTCCAAGATATTTGAAAGATTAATAGCAAGAAGGTTGGTGGAATACTTTAAGACCAATAAATATTTTGCGACCAGTCAGCATGGGTATCAATCAGGCAAATCGGTAATGACGGCTGTTTCTGAAGTAATTGTCTTTATAACGAAAGCACATGATGAGCAAAATGTGGTTCAGATCGGCCTGCTGAACCTCAGCAAGGCATTCGATACCATCAGCCACTCCATTCTCCTGAGTAAACTTCAGTTTTATGGTATTAGAGGTCTACAACTAAATTTAATAAGATCTTATTTGATGGACATATAACAATATGTTGAGTATAATGGTAATAGATCGTGTAGTGTAAAAATCAAACATGGTGTTCCTCAGGACCTCTCCTGTTTATTATATATATTAATGATCTGCCTTGCAACATTATTGAAGAGACATATTTATATACTGATGATATATCCATCGTATTAAAGGACACTACAAAGGATAACTTGATGGCTAAATCACAAGAAGCAATATTGTCCACTCAAGAATGGTTCAGTAATAATCTGCTCAAACTAAACAGTGAAAAAACAGAATATATAGTGTTGGAGATTACTCGACGTGGGAGGGAATCTACAACTGTAAAATTTCTGGATATGCATCTAGACAGCGGAATGACGTGGGCAGTGCACTTGAAGCATCTGAGGACTAGGCTGACTTCTGCTATCTTTACAATACGAAGACTAAAACAAGTAGCCACTCACCAGGCAGCCTGGTTGTTATACTTTGCATCTTTTCACTCGATGGCGTCGTATGGTGTTCTTTTCTGGGGTAGGGCATCTGATTTCCTGAGGATCTTCCGACTACAGAAGAGGGCATTGCGGGTGCTGTGTGGGCTGCGAACAGACGAAAGTTGTAAGAACTACTTTAAATATGAGAATATACTTACCTTACCAAGCATATATATACTTACGGCATTGCTGCATGTTCATGCTAACAGAGACAGTTTTCCCTCCAATGGTGGTACCCATAGCTATCTGACAAGATCACGACACCAATACCAGGTACCGTACCACAGAATTGCATCAACGCAAAAGTATGTGGATTACTGGGGTCCAAAACTGTACAACGAACTACCGCCGTAGCAGACTGCGCTGTCTAGGCAACGGCTTAAGAGGAAAATAAAAGAATATTTGATGGAAAACGTTTTCTATTCGTGCGAGGAATATCTCACGATAGTTCAGTCTCACCATTTTAATGCGTAATGTTTAGTGTGTAATTGCCATGAAATGTATATTTGTATTATTGATATTTCATTTTTATTTCTTGTGTATTCAATGACGTTTTGTAGTAATGGTTTATTACGACAATAAAATATATTAATACGTCTCGTATTAACGAGTATTTTCGATCGTCTTGCTGTATAATATATGAGAATACTGTTTCCGTTTTTCAGCTAATTTTTTACCCATTTCGATCTCTTGCTTTCTTTCTTCTTCTTCACTACTATTGCGATAGCAGTAGCAATTAAATATAAATGATGTTGCCGTATTACATTCATTATAGTTAACAAGTCGCAACTCACTATGAAACTGTTACTAAAATTGACAAGCAAATTTGAACCGTGTGTTCCATCATTTACGTTTCACATTTGCTCGCATGCAAAGATGCTTCAGTTTTGCATCACCATGTATGGGCCCCTTTTCTTTGTGGGATTGCTTGAAGAAATTACTGCCCAAGTTGCCTTCTGTATATTTTTAGAGTTTTTTATATAATTTTTGTCAACTTTTCTATGTTTATTCAACATTTGTTTCGTAACAAGTCGCGGATGTTGCTTATACAGGGAGGTTATCAATTGAAGTTTATTTCTCAAGATTCTTATGTCCTTATTGAACCAATCATGAATACATGATCCATAGAAAACTTTTCGATTATTGAATGATAAAAAAGACTTCAAAGAAAACGCACTTTTTAAAATAAGGTGTTTAATAATATGTTTAAAAGAGCGATTAAAAATTTGTTGGTTGAATAAAATAACATATTATTAAAAAATTTTTCCTAGAATTCCAATGTTTAAACTTCATTTAATCCAAAATAAATACTTATAAGCCTCGATAACAAAACGAAAGATATATTTTATTTCCTGTGAGACATTCATAGATTAATCCTCGTATTTATTACACCTTAAAGATCCTATTCCAATCTTTTTATCTTAAAAATTTCCCGAATGAACGCACAATTACGTTATAAACCAACAAATACCCATCACCTTTATTGAAATAAACACCGAAATTGCACTATATAAACGAGATCACAGATATTCTCGTTTCAGTATCAATCAAAATGCTAGCGAAAACTTTAAAATTAGTTTTTATATTATCAACTATTAATCTTATTGTTAGTGCAATTCAATCTACAAAAACCACTAAAGAATGCGAAAGAAATGTAAGAATATTTCAATCAATAACTTTTTAATTAATTAATTTATTTAAATAAGGAAATTTCGGATTGCGTCGTTTTCGGTGAAATCCACGTAAAAACTTTCGATGGAAACGTTTATAATTTTGAATCAACGTGTGAATACAAATTGGTATCGATTGAATCTGCAAAATTAGACGTTAATTTATTGAGAGATCCAACAGCTTTACAAATTAAATATTCCGGGAATATTTATACATTAACTATATCAGAATCTTTGATTCATTTTACAAAAGATGGATTTGAATACAACATCCCACATAATTTTGATGAATTAATTATTTCAAAACCTGGAAGAATGGTTGTTATCGAACTCAATGATATTGGGATGCGAATTAGATTCGATGGAAATGTAAATAATGTTAATATTTTTAACCCAAATCTAATTCTTTCATTTTAGACGGTTCAAATAGTGCAAGATAACGAAAATTTCGATCATAAAATGATAGGTTTTTGTGGAAACAATGATGGCTGCGCCGATAACGATCTGATAACAGCAGATGGAAATACAACAGACTCCCAAATTTGTTACGCAAATAGTTGGACTTTAGGTAAAAACAATATTAGAATCATTCCTTATTGTTATTAATTAATTTTTTTTAGATCTTTGTAAAACCGAACCTTTCGAAAACGATTGTGGGGATGACGATAATTTAAACGCAGAAGCTTTAAATTATTGCACCGATCTTTTCGCGTTGAAACAATTCTCAGAATGTTGGGATTATTCGGTTGATTTCCGAGATATTTGTATTTCGTTATATTGCGAATGCAAACTTCTTAATCGAAGGGAATGTATGTGCGATATGTTAGATGCCTTTGTTAAAACTTGCAATGTTAACACAAATACAGCTACGGATTGGAGAGATGAAGATTTATGCCGTAAGATAACATTTTCAATCTCATCAAGTTATTTTAATTTACTTTTTAGCAATTAATTGCACAAATATCGATAAAAAATTTTATCCATGTGCCCCAAATGATGGACAAATATCTTGCGGAGATGATAAAATCGAACATTCATCACAACATAGTTGTGAAGAAGGTTGTTATTGCCCACCGGGTATGAAACTTCACGAAGGGAAATGTATTTATGCTGAAGATTGTCCGTGTTATCGAGATGGGAAATGGTACGAACCTGGGTCATCTGTCCCAGATTTGCCTCCTCAAGAATGTAATACATGTGTTTGTGAAAACGGGCAATGGCAATGCACAGAAGTATGTTCTTAGGTTTCAAATTTAATATCAATAAGAATTATTTCTAATTTTTTTTAGAAAATTTGTACTGACGAAGGAGGATGTTGGGGAGATCCTCATTTCACCACTTTCGATGGAAGAAAGTACGATTTTATGGGAAAATGTTCTTATTATGTTGTTAGAGGGAACGGATTTGATATTATATGTGATCATTTTATACGAAGATCGAATGCATTTGTGGTAAGTATGATAACCAAAATATGGTTCTTAATTCAAGTCAAGGCAGACTTAAAACATTAAACTAGTTGTGATTTTCATTTCAATACTGACTTGATTGAGAAAGCTATTATTGAAATTAGTCCGAACCCACAGAAATTTTTTTGTCTTCGTATCACATTTACAACATCGGTTGTTACCACAATGGATGGCCAAAGAGAATGGTTTAAAACCCATCCAGGACAGGAAGAACCAACGCCTGCTCTAACCCTCCATCTACTATGTGTTAGTCAATCGCGGGAGACGAGATACAAGGATCGCAACTGAAAAGAGTGATGGAAAGGGCTAAAGGGCTATATTGAGTTGCTGTTGGTTTTGGGATAAGAGTAAAATGTAGCACGTAGATAACTTCTCGAATGCGGTGGATCATCTTAATACCAACCTTTCTGTTCTGGATTAACCCTTTCGTACCGACTTTTTTTTTGTCGCCCATATTAGGTTTCAAGGAATAAATGGAGTCAATATAGCATATTAAGGGTCTGCAAAGGCTCCTCCATTTTTTTTATTAATCTAAAATCAAATTAACTCTGGGACATGTTGTCCCACCAGTGTTTTAAATTGGGACATATACAGTGTGTTAATTAATTATCGTACACGACGCCATCTTGCAATGATGGCATTGGTATGCAACCAATATCACAGTATTGGTATTGCAATACGCAAATCGCGTATTATATATTATTAAATTATACTGTGATATATCGTTAAATTTGTAAAAAGCTCTACCAATTTAGCATCAGCAAGTTATTATGTTGCTTATTCCATAGAAAAGAAAGAAAGAATAATACATCTTAATAAAAACGTACAACATCAACTAAAAAAAAGACTTAAATAATTCTAACTATTTTTCGATTTCTCTTGATAAAACCATTAACATCACATCAAATGCTCGGTTGACCATTATTGCGAGATATTCTGATGTCCTTACTATGAGAGAAGAGTTGATAAAGTTAGAATCAGTGCCAATAAGTACATCAGAAAACGAAATATGTATGTAAGCTTGTTATAGAAACGCTCAGTGACTTAAGCATTAATATCTTTAAAATTGTGTCGGTCATGTCATAACAGATGGGGCACAAAATATGGTTGGAAAAGATGTGGGATTCGTGAAATTGTTTATGGAAACTGTTAGAGATCTTATTGTACCATTCTATTGCATTATCCTTCAGGAGGTATTGTGTGCTAAAACAGGATTTTCATAACTGAATAATGTAATGTCTGATGTAACATAAGTTGTTAATTTTATCACTGCTCGACCTCTCCATAAGCGAGAATATAATAAATTCATTATCTGAACAGTTCAGCGAAAGATTTAACCAATTTAGAAGCCTGGAAGAGAACATTAAAATTATTAAATATCCGGATGTAGTTACTTACAATACTTTAGATTTAAATGATTTTCAATATATGATTTCAAATATTCGTTGAGTTAAGCGTGAAGCTTAAAAATTTGGAGCGGAATCGTTTAAATAATGAAGAAGAGTGCAACTACGAACTAGAAATTTTGAATGCTTAGAACAGATTATCTGACAGTAACATTTAGTAACATAAAGAATCTAACAATGGCGTTATTAACAATATATTCTTCAACGTATTACTGTGAGATGTTATTCTTTGGGTTAAATACTGCAAAAAATAAATCTTTTTTTATCTGAAAATTCCAAATACTTATTAAAATTTTTATATATTACACGGCAGCATATTGTTTACTAAGAGTTTTGAAAATTTTGACACGTCCAATTCAAAAGGTTCGCCATCACTGTGTTAGACATACACAGTGTTAATTAATTATCGTACCCGACGCCATCATTGTAAGTATGCAACCAATATCACAGTATTGGTATTGCAATACGCAAATCGCGTATTATATATATACTATTAAATTATACTGTGATATTGGTTGCATACTTGAAATGATGACAGTGATGGCGAACCTTTTGAACTAGACGT